ACTCCCTATGGATTTTTTGAGAAAAAGAACTCCCGAGGGAGTCCCGCGAGAATCCATCGGGACTCCCGCGGGAGATTTTTACAAAACGGGACTCCCGCGGGACTTCTGCCGGGACTCTCGACTAGGGTTGAAACCATTTTCTCTGACATCTCCAACTAGCTGCTCTTTGCGACTACGGGGTGTCAGAAAAGAGAGATAAGGAGACAAGAACAAGTCACAATGTCAGCCTTCACTCTGCAAGCAAAGTCGTTATCGTCTTTTAACACGGAGTCTCAGTGGAGTCATGGATAAAGTGTGACATTGTTGGCACCGCAAAAATGTAGCAGTATCACGTTTTATTTGATGTCATGCTAAAAGTGTGATAATACCATGCTAAACATATAATACTGACGCAATAAAAAGATCGCATCTAAATTTTTTCGTAATATTATCACACTTTTAGTGTGACATTGTGACACATTTATTGTAACATTTCGGTAGAGTACGGTATGGAATGAAAAAGCTTTTAATTGACAGGCTATCTCGCGCGCAGAGGGGTTTTGGTAATACTGAGCACAGTAGTTGTGTTGCTACTTTCTTTCTAAATAAAATATTAGGAAGGCAGATGAATTCATTCATTTCTTTATTTTTTTCTCAGCCACATTAACATGCATCTTCTAGGTTTTTGACGGCGGCGAACAAAGACCGCAGCCATTTGTCATAAACATTATACACTATACTGAAGAACGTTACTTTTCTGAAAAGTAAACCTCCAGAAGTTTTGATTTTTCGATTCTGAAGCCCCTTATTCATAGTTCTTTTGAGCAATAATTTTCTTTTGATAAAAGCGTGTCACAAAAGTTTGAATATTCTATATAGTCTGTTTCAAATATTGCAGTTGGAAAGTGGGAATTATGGTCCAGAATCGAAAATTGTGGACATAACAGATAGTGCCGCTATCATAATCGATCATTTTTCTCCGAAATGTTCATGGTTTTTCCACCCATAGACTCATATCGTCACAAGTGCTTCTAATTATATTTAGTTTAAACCATTTCAACATATTCATACCCGCCATGTCAGAATAAAATAAAAACCAAAATGATAAATATCTCTATTGTGCTAATAAATAGCCAGTTGTTAAACGAAGTATATGAAGTTCACATAGCACCATCAAAAAGTATAAAGCTAACAATAATAGTTAAACCCACGTCACAGATGCAATTTACAACATTTGATACGTTGAACAGTGATGATGTTTGACAGAAATCGTGAAAACATCAAGTAGTGCTTACAGTCAATATTACAAATAAGTCAATTATCTCGTCCTCGGAATTTTGTTAGTAGAATCAACTAATATTATTAATTTTAAGTGCTGTTTATCATCTATATATATATCATCAACGCTGCGTTGATGTTTATTGTTTAACTTTAATGAAATTATTTGAATTGATGTAATTGCTCACTGTTATTTGAGTTCAGAATTTGAAAGTAAATTTATTCACAAACCATCTCCATTCCATAAAAGACAACAGTTTTCACAGAGGCAATCATATTGCTTCTGTGTATAAACATACATTGAATATTAACAACAAATTTAAATAGATGAAGTATGTCTTGTTCTTTTCCAATTGTTAATATGTTGTCAAGCGGAAAGTTGAGAATATGCATTCGTCTTCAACAGATTCGTACATCATACGTTTACTACCTTGCTGTTGTACGATAATTCTTGTATTTGATTGTAGTGGAAACTGAATATAGTGAAGTTTCTCTCATTTAGGTTATTATTATTGATTATATTGTATGCCACTATGGATCATAGTAAGCCTGAATTATTTACAATATAACTGAAAAGGAAAACTTAAACTGATTATTTTTATTATGTAGGTGACACAACTGAACCGTGCAGAAGACGATGTACCAATGGTGGTCTTCAAATACGTGCTCCGAATACGGATGACGATGTCTATTGTGTATGTTTTCGGGATTATTATGGACCATGTTGCGAATATAAAGTCTCTGAAAAATTGCAAAAGGGTATATGTTTAACATGGTATCATAGTTGTAAATATGGCACATGCGAGGAATTAGAAAATAATGAAACAACATGTCATTGTGTAGCGGTAAGAGATAGTTCTTTATACTAGTTTACGATGATTTTCTATCTAAAGTCGTTTATCCTGGTTTGCAGGGTTATAAAGGAGATCGATGTGAATCAATGGATTTCAGTGATAATGTTTGTAATTCAAATCCATGTTATAGAGGTGGAGAATGTCGTTCAACATCTAAGAATACTGAGGAACAGTGCTTATGTAAAGATGGTACATTTAGTCAAGATTGTAGAAACTCAAATGTGTCAGCATGTATAAATCATAAGTGTCAACATGATGCACTCTGTATACCAATGACAGAAACAAGTATGCCAGTTATTCACTTAATTTAAAGACCAAGAGTATAAACACATTGAGCTTTCCGAAAGCGACTAAAATACGACCATCAGTTTCTTTCTGCTTTACGTGATAGGGAAAGAAAGATAACAGTATACCTCAAAGTGTGATTTTTACTGCTTGTTTGTTTAAAGGTCTTAAAAGCCCGTCTCGTAATCTTTCTTTTCATTAAGATACTACCTATCGATGTCAGTGTGCGGGAAATTTTTATGGTCCATATTGTCAATGGGAACACAATCCATGTTCGCCAGATAACTGTCCGCCAATAGCCGAAAAGTGTTTCACCTATGGAGCTCTATCGTATCATTGTGCCTGTACAACTGACTACATTGGCGATTCGTGTGAGCTTTCATCAAACGGCACATGTGTAACGCATCTTTGTCGAGGTATATAGGCATCGTACTAGAGTCTTCCATTAAACACCTTCACTTGACATAGACACTTTTTTCTGTTCTCAGGATCCTTTTGTTCAGCCATTGAACGAAAACATATAATATCACCCACTATAGTTTGGCTAAAAGATGTATATATTATTCCTCTGAACGCGACGTGACTGAGCAATAATCATTTAATGATTATACTGTCAATAAAAAATGCTTTGTTAAAACGCTTCGATGATTAGAAAATACATTCAGGGTGCATTTCAAACTGATCGAGGTGGCTTTTGACATCTTTTTCGATGCTAGTCATTAGCTAGTCATGCGTATGTCTTGAGAAGTCACCTACGAAATCATGGTTTCTCCAGCTATGATGCTTTCATTAGGCATTCTCTAGATGGGAAGAGGTCTCTAGGTACCAGCTATTCTCAAAACACATATGCGCTTACAAGCCAACGATTACATATAATCTCCTTCTAAGTATCTAGGCACTAGATACAGTCTTAATCATCAGCTATTCATCCAGACATTTTTGTGTTTAGTCAGGACATCAGTTAACAGATCGTTAACAGATAGCACAGTGTGCAATTTTGGCTAGGCATGCGGACATCAACTCTAAAAGTAGACAAAAACTATTTATACCAGTTTTCCATAGGTTTTCGATGATACTCTTCTGAATGGAATGGTTCCTGAGTAACGAAAAAGTTTACTGGAGGGTTTTTCGGAGATCCTGTCTCTGGAAAACCCTCTAGAAACCCGTTTCGTTACTCGAAATATTCCGCTGGAAAGACCATCGTCGGAAACCTATAGAAAACATGCTTGGAGAGTTTTGTTTATTTTATTCTGAACTTTAAATTTTTAGCAGAAAATTGTTTGTGTGAATCCCAGAATCTAAGAAAATTGTAGAATTCAAAGTTTAGCGACCAAAACCAGATGAGTTATAGATCATTCGACGCAGCATTTTGCGCTGATTCCGAATATGTTATTAGTTTTTGTTTTCGATATTTCTAGAAACGGATAAAACTCTAAAATACCTTAAAAATCAAGGATTTTTGGAAAATCTATAAAATCCGGCTCTGAAAATTTATGCTATTTTATGCTAACTGTATAGATGCATTGGATGGCGAAGAACATTCACTGAAAGTTGCATTTAATTTGGACTTGCGCTAAAGTGCGCGCACTCACTATGCTGAAGACACCTTTGAAAAAACGCTTAAGAGGGAACATATTTAGGTGATTAAACGCTTTTTGCTTGGAATCTAGTGGGTTATAGGTTATTGACCATGCTGATTACAAATATGGCCATGGGGTTTGCCGTTAGCCCTTCGAAGATCTGGTTTTCTAGAAAATAAGTTTTTCAGAAACTCTAAACTATAACCCGACCCTTTCTTAATGAAGCATGATTGTAGTCCGCAATTTCGGATTAAAATGAGATGACTGGGAGATTAATCTCTCAGCTTTATACGATCTTTCTTTGCAAAGTTATAGAATTTACAAGAAAAGCCCTGAATGTTCATTGTCAGTTCAAAGCTACAGAAATAAGAAGAAATTAATTTAGGGCTTTCCTTGTGAATTCTATAACTTTGCAAAGAAAGGTCGTGTAAAGCTGGGAGATGTCCCATTTCAGAGTTTCTGAAAAACTGGTTTTCTAGAAAACCAGGTCTTCGAAGGGCTAATGGCAACCCCTATGACCATATTCGTAATCAGCATGGTCGATAACCTATAACCCACCAGATTCCGAGCAAAAAGCGTTTAATCACCTAAATATGTTCCCTCGTTAGTTTAGAAAGAACGGTAACTGCTTTCGTTAGGAAAGACTTTCAAACAGAATTTTTTTAGCAATCGATACTAGGTATACGACGGACCGAACAACCGACTCGGGCAACTTCGAATCGGACACTATTTGACTCGAACACTGTTTGATTCATACACTGTTTGATTGGGACACTGCTTGACCCAAACACTCTTTGACTCAATCACAGTTTGACTCAAACAGTGTCTGAATAAAACACTGTTTGACTCGCACATTAACCGATTCGGACATGTCCGAACAGAACATTCAAACACTGTTCGACTTTTTTCATTTCTGTTAAGTGTCTGCTTAGTGAAATTTCTTCGTGGAGAGTTTGAGTGAGAGATGCTGAGAAACAGTAAAGTTTAGAACAGGGATGAGATTAGAACCGAAAGGGATTTTCGAGTAGAACTGTTGATTAGCTGAAGGGGATTGTTATTTTTCTTTCTATTTTACTCATTTCTTATATTAAACAAGATTATTTTTTTTGACACATTCAAGCTTGCTTCTAGTTACACAAGTAGTAAATTAGACTCTATAAAACTGTACAGTGACAGTGAGCACAAAATGCTTAGCACGTCAATTCACCTACAATTTTAGACGACTAAAAAAAAGCTGTAAATTAATAAGAGAAAACAGCATTTGAAAAAAGTCGATCAGTGTTTGAATGTTTGGTTCGAACAGGTTCGACTCGGGTAGTGTCAGAGTAAAACACTGTTTGTGTCAAACAGTGTCCGAATGGAACATGCTTGAGTCAAACATCGGACATTTGTCCGGTCCGTCGTATACCTAATCGATACAGACTTTGCCGCAGTTTCAGAATATGTCTTTGTATTTCTAAACGGTTGCCCAGATTTTGTGCAAAATCCAGTTTTCCAATAATACCATTGTTTTCGTTCTAATTTTCCTTAGCAATTTACTGACTAAGTTTCGCACTTAGAAAAAACTGCCAATGGCAAAAAGATAGAGTGTTTGTCGAAGTATATGACACGCTATTCAACTCTTGAAAAATCTCACTTTCGTTTTTCTCCCTAATGTCTACTTAGTTGCGCACTGTGGATAGAACGAGAAAAAAAGTAAGTGCACCCAGTATACAACTCATTGTTCTCTCCAGCCTTTATTGCGACTTTTATCGTAAGGTTCCGCCCATAATAAATAGAATACGAATAGAAAATAGAATCCGTCATAATAAAGTAGAATAAGTTAGCCACTACTTTGTTTTTTTTTCTACGTCTTTTCTTCATTATTTATCGATTATCAGGAGTTGCTAGATGTATGTATTTCAAGTTTACTAATAAGTTCAAATAACTCCTGCAGGATCCTGATAACCAATAAATAGTCAAGAAAAGTAGTGGCTAACTTATTCTGATTTGTTATGATTTACTGTAGCGTGTACGGGATCTAATATGTCAGATGATAGAATGGCGATTTTCAAGCTAAAAAGAGTAAAGAAAATGAGATGAACACACTAATGAAGAAAAGAATACTATTCTCCCTATCAAACATAAAATCACCCCCGGCGTCCTTGATTTAGCTTTTTAAGAGAAACCCCAAAAGCAAAAGTCTCTTCTTTCTATGCAGATTGTTTCTTTGGGTACATCAAGATGTTCTTTAGCTTTCTCTGCTTTATTTGTATTATTAGTTTGAATGTTTATTTGCAGATGTTATCTTATATGTCTCAAAGTGAAGAACTGTGGCTTGCAGAACAAGGTAGCCTAGTACATACAGGACTTAGCAGGCACATTTCAGACGTCAGCAAGCCTTATTTTACGCATTTCGAATGCACTCAATTTATGTGAAAGAATGTAATCGAGATGCATAAGAAAGGGAATCCGGTCGCCTCTTGAAGACATCATAGCGTTTTTTCTCCAATGAGGAAATATGGAATGCATCGAGAATGCCTTTTTTTCGTCGTACAGAAGATGCTTTTAGAGATAATTTGCATAACATTGCTGTCCACATACCTTCCGGCACTAACTCTGATTTGAAAGGAAATGAGAGAAACTTAACGTCGTGATTTAAAATTTTAAGCGTTGCGAATTATTGTAACGAGAGGTTTCACTTAAATAATTTTCTGGTAGCCATTAAAGATTCTAGAGGGTTAAAATTCTATTCGTATTAAAAGGGGGAGACTTGTAACATGATAGAACGAGTTTCAATTTTCTGATATGTACGTTTTCTCTTTATCACAACTCCACTGACGGTTGGATGAAGCTAATTGCCTCATACCTTGAGGAGAAATTAACACCATTGCTCTTATGCGAATATCTTTGATGGAAAATTGCTCGTTCCATCCAAAAGAAAGAAATGAGTATTATGTAATTTAGGCGATGGTAAATGTCTAAGGAAAAATTATACATTTTATGAATGTGAATGTCATCATGGTAGAGCGGGTCACGATTGTTCAACAGAGAATATTTGTGTTACGAATGACATTGATTGTAATGAAAACGGTCAATGTAAAATGTTGAATAATGAAACAACTGAGTGCGTATGTAGCGACGGATGGAGTGGAAATGATTGTTCAATTAATCTGAAAATGCGAATAATGAGTAGGTGTATAGCAATACTTTTCGAATACTATGCATGAATAGAAAGTTTATATACAACTCCACTTTTAAACAGTTCAAAATACTTCAATTAATTCCAGTGTTACAAAAAATCGGGGAGAGGATTGACATTTTCATACAGCAAAAGAAGGATCTCAAATGGAAGGATTATTTTCATAGAGTTGTGGTTTTTTTTGCAACGACTGTCTTTCAAATTTTTGCTTTGCATACTACTATTGATGATTAATCACTTTTGTAATTAATTTCTAAAGTATTAC